CTCGTTCGGCATGGAGGCTGGGGAGATCATTGTGTTCAAGATCGCTTTGTCGACGGCCCCAACAGACGAGGTAAGGGCGAATATTAATCGCAAAATTTGCCAATCGGAACTCCAATAGACCAATACAAATCTGTACTCGGAATATTAGGAAGCAAAATATTTGTCGCAATTTTCAGGACTCAGGGTAGCCTTTCTCTTCATGCATTTTCCATTCTGCAGCTCAAGGAGTGCATATGACCTGGAACTTGTGAGCACGTTGCAGACCTGGACAATCTTGGTCTTCCGCTTACAGCACCATTTGACGTATGTGTTTGGATAAACACAGAAATGGGTGATGTTTACGTATTTTAACGGTGCGCTGAAACAACAGGCTACATGGTGAAGTCGTCAACAATGATTGGCTCTCCGCCCCCTTGAAACCCTGCAGGGCAGCGTCCACCACTCGGCAAGGGCCACGGCATCGTCGAGCAGAAGATCGTTTTCTGCCTACTCCAGCGCGTCCGGCTGCCACTTCCTCAAATCCCCGAGCATGTGTGTACTATCTTTATGTGCACAAGGCCTGCTCTTATGCGCTTTTACGCTTGTTTATGCAAAAAACGCCAATATTATTTTTGCGCACAAGTTCACGCTAAAGCACTCTTTTTACGCCGTCAAGATTAGACATGGATTTGACGGAGCATTTGGAGCTGAATATGAGGACCTGCTCAGGTGACCCTTACACCGAAAGTTCAACAGCGGAACGGGACGAGATACGGCGATGCTTCGGAACGCATGTCCGTAGATACATCTCAGCTGATGTTCAATCCTGACGACTGGCATGAGCTGAAAATCGGGCATCTGGTGGCACTCCAAGGCGATTTCCAGACTGGGCCCACATTGTTTCGAGCTGAACTGGTTGTGGCCAGCAACGATCTTGCCTACAACGAGTCCATTCTCGCCAAACTTGACGTAACAATATCCAGCTCCATCAAAGCAGAGGTATGTAGTGGAGGACGCCTTTGAACTTGTTTTCCATGCAACAGAACCTTTTAGCAGCTGCTGTACTCTGCAATCGCCAACATCAACACATTTGCGATACACAGCAATTGATGGAGACCTCCTCGCACATCACGAACTTGCTCGTTTAGAGCAATAGCAACTTTCCAAATCACAAATCTTTAAAACAAATTTCCACAAATTTATGGGCTAACGTAAGCGGCCACTGCCGCCAAAGCTATCGCAATATCAATTGGTATTATTCTAACTAGTATCATTGCTTGCAGGGCAGTTGTGGTAGTGCAGATGGATTGTTGTGCAGATTCGACATGCCAGCATGTCGAGTGTGCCCAATTAAATGATCACGTACTTTACGTGAGCGCTCTTGCGAAGTATTAGACTATTTAGTCAGCTGCACGTTCCGGGCAAATTTGCGTTGCCACAGTGGGCTGCGCCTCACCCCCTCATACTGTAAGCTTTGGCAAGTCCGGGAGAGCGCCCTCCGATGCAGCAGCAATGGGTGGACAACGGTGACTTTAACTTTGCAAGAATTGCGCTCCTTGGCACAAAGGATCGTTTATTGATGTCATACACAGCTGCTGCTGGTGAGAGATGGCAGCGAAGTGGTCGTTCGGTCTGAGTGCTTGCGGCGAAACTCTCAAACATGGATTTCCTCGCTTTCGCCACTTCTTTTGTCGCTGCTCGGTGCATATGAGCCAGCCCCATCCACCCCTCCCCACCCGCCAACATCGCCGCCAACCCAAGTTCAGCTGCCCAGGGCAATCTGTCACGTTGCGTCAACTTTTGCGTTGGTGTTGTGTTATTTGGATTCCTGCCAGATGCTTCGCCTTGGCAAGTTCAACACCTGTGCAGCTTCACCACTAATGTCGCCGTATGATCCTGGCTGTGGCTGATGCGGCCATGGCTCACTCAAGGTTTTCCATCGCCCAGGGCACGATGATAGCTTCCAAAACTTTCGGGAACCGCAAAGCCAGAAATTTAGGGTGTTTGTCCTAGTTTCGAACTGGCAGACCGCTTCGATTTGTTGACCACCATTTCACTGATTGCAAAACAACCATCTGCGGGCCAAAACGTGTCTGCCTCTTGGCACGAAACTAATTTGATTGATCAACCTAACGTACTTTCACTTGCAGCAGTAGCCATAAGAACAGCGCTTGATGGACAGGTCTATTCGCCTGCTTTCAGCACATCTTCTTCTTGTCTCAATGGTGATTCTGGTCCAGCCGATCCATACACTGGACAACTCCGTCTCTCGCCGCCAATCTTTTTGGCTTCCGTGGGACTTTCATTGTTGCACCACAGAATTCTGCCCGTCACGACATCCCCAAACTTTCTTTACTGGATATATTGAATGGAAAATGATTCTACTGAAATTTACTAAGAACGTACATAAGCCGTTCCTTGATCCCCGCAAAATGAAGATTGGTGATACCCATTTGTTATTCATGCTATCACATGCAGGAAACATGCGTAGATGGAGCTTGGCTGACGCCCCACCATTCGACAGTGGTCCATATTCTAATAAACTTGCACTGGAACTGTACCCACATTATGTTCCTGTTATTCAGGTGATTATCGTTCCCCAGATAGCAACGGTGCGCCAGGGATACTACGCCTCACTGAGCGTGACAATCAGCACAGCTCCCCCACCCGGCACAAACGTCACGGTGTACCTGGAATCAATTCACCCTTCTCTGGTAGATGTATTAGGAGATGGGGAAATCAAATTCGACGAAGAAACGTGGAACGAGCCGCAATATGCATGGGTAAGCCTGGACTGTTGAGCAAACCCGAGGGCCACATTTGACTGCTCAACTGCGCCGCGCACATGACAGCGTGGGGTATAATGTGCATTTAAACATAAACATGGAATTCTTTGATCGCTTTGCTTGCTTCTCCCCACCATGCTGGGTGCCTTGCAGGAAGATGACAGGGACGCATTCTGGTACTGCATCCGCTTTGTGTAGAAGTAGAAACCAATGTTGGTGCCCTGTTTGAAACAGTGCATTGAGTATGTGCGCACAAGCACGTGCGGATATGAAAAGTCTCGCATTTTAATGCATGCTTAAAAACACGCGCGGTGACGAAACTCACCTATGCTGCACATAACAGGCAATTGGCATCACGCCATCTTCTAGATCACCTTGAACGCGCAACTAGCTGCCGCAAGGGGGAAAAGTTCCCACGGACTAAGCCGTTGTCCTGCACCCTCCACTAGGAAAAAGGGTCCAAATAGCACGTGCTCAAATGTGTACAAAGTTTACGGGTTTGTGTTCTTCTTGTGTTCTCAGTGTGCAGAACTTTGATGAAATGTGTTTTTCGTGTGTTCGCAAAAGTGTTATTTGGCGCTTTTTTTCCTAGTGCTCTCCCGCACGTCCAGATGCACTTCTGAAGTTTTCCGAGGCATCTGAGACTCATCGGTATACATACCTCTGCACACATCGCGCATACTTGGGGGCGCTCTCTTGCTGATGTGAATTGTCTACAGTTTCAAATGACCGTTTGTGAATATACTGCGGCACTTGTAATAATTATCTTGTATGTGATTGAAAATTCAAATAGAAATCATGCGGGCAAAGTTCCTACTTGAAGAGAAGCTGGAAGCTAAGCACGATGGGCACTTTGCATCATAGAAAATGTGGATTTCTGAAAACCTTTCATCCACCGTGGAGCTGAGAGTATTTCCGCGGACCCAAAGGACACACCTGAACAATGCTCGCACACACAAAAGAACTGTTTGTGAACGCGAATTCGATTTATACACAACTCGGATGCCGCAGGTTTATGCCCCGATTCTGGCGGACTTTGGCTTCAACCCATCCACGCTCGGGCCGCTAAGCACGACTTTGTTGGTGACGGCCGTGTCGCACGACGGCCTGTACACCAATTTGGATGTGCCAGCCGTGGGAGTCACGGTGTTTGCAACCCCCGGCAGGCGGTTTGTGGGAGCAAACATATCGTCACTGAGTGCTGAGGCAGAGGCGTGCTTCCCTGCGTCGTCAGAATGGGCACTCTGCTTTCCTCCTTCCGCAGGTGCCGCGCTCCAAGGAGCAGCCATCGAGCTGCAATTGGACGAAATTTTGGCCCAGAATCTCACTCTGCTTCCAGAGGGCCTCGAGCCTTTTGAAATCATGAGCTCCATACTCAACGTCGAGGACGCCGTGGGAAACATCGACGACGGCACGGTGAACGCCACGGATATCGGCATGCACGCATGGCTGAACGTAACGGCGGGCGCCATCGAGACTTTGGCCACTCCTCCGTTCCACATACTTTACGCGCCGGACGCCAATTCCCCGGTTTGGGAAAAGGTGGAAGATTTTCAGGTCGATGCGTCGAGGGCACAGTTTGGCGCAGTTGGGACGAGAGTGGCCAACCTCGGCGCCTTCCTGTTGGTCTACGCGCCGCCAACTTACACTCCAGTCATTCAGGCTCTCTCCAACGCGTCTGCCGCGGGCGGCTCCTCGCAGGCAGCCCCATCGGGGGTAATCTTTTATGAGGGGGAAAAGGAGCTGAAGCCCATTCTTCGGAACTTCACAGTGTATCGATCGGAAGACGTGCTAGGAAATGGGAAGCTGGACAGCTCGGCGGCAAACGAAACATGGAAAGAGTGAGAAACTCAGATCACTCAAGTGTCATCATGCAGCACTGATGTGCAGTATTTTTGTCTGCGACGTTGAATGATCTTTATGTCTGGACAGTGAATTACCGGGGTTGTGATAACAGAAGCAAAACATGCTGTGCAAATCCGAGTTATGCAAATGCGACAAACACCCATAATCATAACTGCGCAATTTGAATCAAAAGCTGCATACATGACTAAGGCACAATTCCCTGATACTGAGTACCTTTGGGAGCCCCAGGATATGTTGAAGTTGGCTACTCTAACAGTACTAATGTTGGAGAAGTACACCACCCCGATAGCGTCAATTTTCAACTGGAACTTTCTAATATGGTTTTGAAGTTGTCTGCGCCCTGTAAGCACCTCAGTGGGTGGCTTTAGAGGTTGCGGCTATGCGACCGTTGGTGAGCGTGCGCTTTGTTCATCTCCTAAATCAATCCTTCAAGTTAATGGAATAGATAAATGCAGTGAAGAAATTCACCCAAATATATGTACTTGACGCTCGCACTCTGGGAGTGCAAAATTAGTACACGTGGGGCGCGTATAATGCCAAACTCTTGATGGATTGCAGCAATGGGATGGCTGGGTCGAGGTGATATCGCATGTTCGATACCAACTCAGGCATGTACCTGCACCATATAGTGCCGCACATACATAATTCCATATTTCACCGAATCACTGACAGCAACGGACCGACCATGGTGACCGACCTTGTGGCCACGAGCTCCCTAGGATCATTCCAATGTGATCTTTGTGATCTTTTCTATTGCCTTTCTTCAGAGAGCGAGTCATCAAATCTGCAGTGGTCGTAATCGTGAGCGGCTTCAGCGATTTGGAAGACGTGCTGACTCTCCACCCTGAGATTTTCCTCAACGGGACGAATGCGACATCGACTTCCAGCATCAGAAACATCTATGCATTGGGACTGGACGTGGAAAATATAACCCATGGTGGGATTCACGCCGCGTACAATGCAACAAAGGGGGAGCTGCGCATCGAGAAGTCCGACGGCTCCCTCTTGACAACAAAGGAGGCCGAAGACACTGTCCGCAGGGTGGTTTACGGGAATTACGAAAACAATCCGGAAAGGCAACAGAAGAAGTTTCAGGTGGAAATATATGAGGAGATGTCTGTCGCCCGATCTGGAACTGGGAAGATGAAAATTGTTGAATATGGGGGTTCCAGGTTGCCCGCAATTCTGACGTCAGAGTCATTTCTTGAGGTGAGCAAAGAAGTGATTTATTTCTTATCTCACTCTGTATTATTTTCAATATTGGTGCGCTTGTAGATACACTGCAGACGACGATCAGCCCAGGAGGGGACAAAGACTTTTAAATTGTGTCTCTTGACCAAAATGTGACGCCAATTGGTGCTGCCTAGAGCTGATGGCATTTCTCGACCCGCCACATGAGATGCTAGGAAAATCCTCGGCTGTCCGGGAATCCATCTCTTTACTTGATATGCGCACAGCCAGAGACAATCGGGGCTGAAAATTTTGTCCATGCAGCTGCATCAACTGTTCTATCATCATTCTTCCGTTTTAATATTGCGACTAGATACAATCAGTGGACATTCATATATGCATGCGCTCTGATGTATTGAAAAAGGCATGTAAATGTACTTTAATGCTCATTTCGGCGAAAAGAGCGCACCGCACCGCGTTTCAATTGATTCTCAATCAGCGTTTCAGCAGGTATCCTTGTCGAAGTCGGCATCCAATGCCGCTTGGATACTGTACAACAAGACGGTGATGCCGCCCTCCATTTATGGTGTTATGATATGGGATCCCATTCATGGTATTGTCCACAAATAAAAAGAAAATCATTGAACTAACAAATGCAACATGCATATTTTGACGCCTGATTACGGGCTCTCGAAATTTATGAAGCGTGCAAATCAGCAGAGATGAAGCATGAATATTTGAAAACGCAGTGCCCTATTTCACATAAATGTCCCATGTACCGTTTTCATTGCCGGGTTGCGCAACGGCATTCTGTTGCCCGCCAGGTGTTTGAAAACGAAAGGACAGTAATCGACTCCGAGCTGCGAATCGTTCAACCCACGAAGGGGATGATCTTCTCCGCGACGGTCAAACTTCATCCCTCTCAAAAGGACGATGAGTTGAAAATTTCCGCACCCCTGTCGCAGTTTCTTTCAGTGCAGACGTTCACAGTGAGCTCCAGCTACGAATGTGAGACGTCAGCCAGGGCGGCTTGCGACAGTCCAGATGTGCTCTTGGAAAATGGCGAATGTAGAAGCTGTACCATTGTCATGGCCATTCTGGGAATAGCAAATTCTTCGGTATATGAGGTAGGGTCTAGACACTAGCCGATGAAATTCTCTCATGGACCAATTGAGAAATTAATGCAATAAACATAATGCATCGTGAATTCTCTCCGCGCTGTATGTTGTTTAGTAATTCCTAGCGCGCTCCCTAGTCCGTTGCTTCAATTGCCGTGAATGTTGTATACTAATGCGCCTGACCAATCTTGTACATACTCTTCAATTCCTATTCCGAAATTGATGTTTCA